GTAGGAAAGATCCAAAATATTTAGTTTTAACAATTGCCCTTCTCAACCGGCCACTAATAGAAAGCAGGACTGATGGTTTAAGTGACTGACATAAAAAGTTGAAAAGCACAAGCAAAATTTGTTTATCTCTGTCTTCTGATACTTATATTGTCTAAGTACTGGTCAGTCACGATGAAGGCATTTCTGGAGGCTTGACACTAAGGGTATTTTCTTGGTAGTTGTAGGCAGATTAAATTGATTACTTCCTTCTACTCACTGAACAACTTACTAAACATATTATGTACTGTCCAGGATATACAATTTAAGAAAAAATTCAGCAAAATCTGAAGAGTTACAACAACCCTTAGACAATAAGTAGTTTCTGATCCAAAAATACATCAATGCAGTTATGTTGAAAGGAAACTAGTCTTTGTGAATTTATTGTTTCCTTTCTGTGTCTCAGATCTCTTTCACTTTTGCTGGTGATTTTTTAGGAAAAGTCCTTGAAATACTTAAAGCTTACTATACTGAAAGCACATTTTTAAAAGAATGTTGATTCTCAAGAATGAACTAGAAAGGAGGACTAGTTTGACATGATGAAATGATATTTGGGATCCACCAAAAATCCTGTGGTCCCACGCTGTGCAGGGGAAACCATTGGGTAAGTTTTCTAAAGGCATCTAAACTGATTGTAAGTGCCAGATGACATTCTAGTTTACCTTTGCCCTAAGTGAAAGCAAAAGACCTGGTAGACCATCAGTAGGAAATGTCCTATGTATAATTTCCTGCAGGCTTTTATTTATGAAAAGAAAAAATTCAACTGTTGCAACAGATTTTTTTTTCTGCAAAGCTGTGGCTCATCAGTTAAGGAGAGCATGATTTTCTATCACTTACTTGCTGTTCTTACAAGTGGAGAAGTGTTCACTTACAGTAGGGTGTACTAGTGTGTTCACTAGGTATATTAGCTTTCTCATCTCTGAGACACAATGCCTAACACTCACAACTTGAAGGAGGAGCGTTTTAATTTGGCTCATGGTTTTGGAGGGACTTCAGTCCATGGTTGCCTGGCTCCAAGGCAGGAGTGTTACTGTGGAAAGGAGTGGTGGAGAAAAGCTCTGTACCCCAAAGCAACTAGGAAGCAGAGAGAAAAAAAGAGGAGCTGAGGAGGGAGATATACCCTTTGTAATGTCTGGGGGGTGTACACCATATTACTGCTCTGCTGGGACATGCAGCTACTAGTGATTCTAAACCTAGCATCTATGAAAGAACTGAAGAAGTAAAAGCAGATGATTTATTTGGAAGGCAGGGGAAAGGGGAGATGAGAGAGAGAGAGACAGAGACAGAGACAGAGAGACAGAGGGAGGGAGGGAGAGAAAGAGACAGAGGGGGAGAGAGAGACAGAGAGAGAGAGAGAGAGAGAGAGAGAGAGAGAGAGAGAGAGAGAGAGCTACTTATAAGTAGAGAGTATTCAAAAGGGAAATACTTGTGGATTTTTTGTCTGTGGTTCCTTTTATTGGGTTTCTGCTCCCTATGTAGAGTCCTGGAAACTGATTGGTTCCTTGGCTGTCTTTGATCCTACCCTTGGATTTCTTCCCACCATAAAATATTTTCCATTCTTTTTTGGAGACTAGCATTATAAGTGAGGGGTTTATGGGCAAGTAGTTTAGGCTTAAGGATTAAATAAAGGGAAAGTGTGCAATTCTTATGTTAATTGTACTGCCTGGGACCTTCCTGAGTTTAGTTTCTTTTCATGATTGCTAACTAAAAGCCTATCTTTTATATCTGAGATTATGCCCTCACACTGGCTTATTCTGCTGGGGCTACTTTCAATGGAATGTTTATTCCCTTGGATATCTGCTTGAATCTGTTTTATGGGTTCTATTTTTTCCCTATGTTGGGGATTCATGGTTTCCATCATTTTCTTAAGCTCCTCTATTTTTTTTTTTTTTTTAAATCTGTGTCTACTCCAGAGTCACTAAGCATGATTTTCATTGTGGTCATCATCTCTGTAATTATCTGAGAAATTATTTCTGCTTTTATTTTTTCTAGAGCCTCCTTCATTTGCTTTGTTGTTATGAATTCAGAGAGACCAGGTGGTCGGATTTCAGATTATCCTACCTCACTACCCCCTGGATTTTCCTTTGGTGAACTGAGTGTTTGAGTTTGCATCTTGTTTAAAAGTTCTCTGTCTCTGTCTCTGTCTCTGTCTCTGTGTGTGTGTCTCTCTCTCATGGGTTCCTGGGTTGATGCTTATAAATTGCCTATGGTAAGTTGCTTTATTGCTAGCATTTAAAACATTTCAAAATTTACTACTTCTCAGATGTGTCTTTCAGGTGTAGCTGGTTTTTGGGTTTGACTCTGTTGCAAGATCCTACCTCTTCAATATGTTGGGAATGAGAAATTGTTACTTGCTTGGCCCAGCTCCAGGTTTTTTGGCACTGGCCTACAGTATTTTCTATGACTCTTAGGCAATCTCAGTCTTGGAATACCAGAAAGAACAGTTGGTTAAGACAATTATGTCACTTTGGATAAAGTGTTATGATTGGCAATAACAGTAGCATCAAAGACAGCCTACAAAATGACAAACTGAGGCAACCATTAATTTTCCACCTTTAACCATATGAACTAGATTTGTGATTATATAACAATATCTGAAACAAAACAGAAAATTATATGCAGTAATTAAGTCCACAATATGTCAGTTTTACTTTTAGGGGAGAAAATTTAGAAAGAGAGAAAAAATAGAAAAGTAGAAGTGGAAGAACAGATTAGCAGCAAGGCTGGAAGACAAAGGGGGGTCATACAAACTTTGCTAAACTGGTGCAGAATACAGGTGGGAAAGGGAAGGAAGAAATAAAGAAAGAATAGAACAGAACAATGACTACAAAGAAGCTAGAAACCATGTTCACGTTTCATATAAACCACATAAAGCGATGAATGATAAAAATAACAACAATAATAAAAATGAAACAAGAAAGAAGAAAGAAAGAGAGGAGAAAAAAAAGAAAAAAAGTCTACTTCCAGGTTTGTCTCTGCTGTCACTGGCAGCCAACATGTGGAGACAGAGTCCAGATCCATTGATTTATCCCAGCAAGCCGGCAGGAGCTTATTGGTGGGATGGTGGATAATCCCAATGAGGCTGCACCTTTTTCCCCCCTGAAGTTTAGGCAGAATTCTGGCCAGGAGGCTGAAACCAGGCCCATTCAGCCTCCACCATCAGTGTATTTTCTACAGGACTGAACTCAGCTGGGAGCCATTAAATGGACCCAGTTGTTCTGGGTTCTGCAGTCAGTTGGCCCCTCTCCAGGATGTCTTCCTGCCAATGACTGAGTTCTCAGCACCCACTGGCTAGTGCAGTCCTTCATGTCCACTGCTCCCTTCCACTGATGCATCTCTTGGTGAAAGCCTCTGGTGTTGCCAGAAGTTACCATATGTCCTCACATTTGAGCTCTTCCCATGAAATAAGTCTCAACTTGGAAAAGTCTCTGCAGGCCAGATCCTTCTTCATTGAAGTTTCTCTCTTCACTCTCCCCACAGGCCTCAGTTTTTGCCTGAGATTCTTCCTGGGTTCAGGGGACCCCACTTTCCTCCTTCTTGTCTTCCTTCCATTGCTAGATTCTAGTGTCTGATCTGCAACTGTCAGAGAAGTTCTTTCTCTGCTGCATACTACTTTGTCATCTTCTCAGGAGTCCCTGAGTGTAGTTTTTTTGACTTTGTCTTTCTGATTGTTCCAGTGTAACTGATTTTGTCTTTCTAATTGTTTCAGTCTAATCTACAGAGTCAGAAGCCTAAACCTCTTCTAGCTGTCCTTAGTAAGTCTCTCCACTAACTTTTAACAGGAACCATTGTATCTTTTCCCTACCTACAGAGATCCATCCCTACACCCTCAAAGGTATGCCCCCAGTTATACACTTCCTCAAATCACCCTCCCTACTAACAGACCATTTAGCTATGAACTCATCAATGAGTCAAATTCACTGACGAGTATAGAGCCACCAGTGACCCAGTCACCTTCCAAAAGTCCCACCTCTGAATGTATGAGATTTTGGGAGTCACTTTTACATCTAAACCATCACACTAGGTAAATGAGAATGTATAGTGGCATGAGCGAGCAGTGGGTGAGCCAGAAAGAGAACCAGTCAGCATCTCCCAAGATCCAGCCATGTTGGAACTTAGGGAGCTGAGCAAGAAAGCAATCCACCTGTCTTTCTGGTAAGCAGCTGTGGTATGAGCGAGTGGCAGGCAAGCCAGGAAGAGAACCAGTCAGCATCTCCCATGAGCCTACTGGTGTGTGGGCTGAGAACCAAACATCCCACCCTCCCTACCCACCCCCATTAGCACCCACCACCCCATTAGCCAGAGTTCTGAGCATCTCTTGGGAAAATGACTGTATGCAAATAGCAAATATGTGGGATTTCTTTCTATCATCTCTTTGAAGGCAAATATTGTCTTCACTGTTTTGCTTTGTTCTCATAATTGTTTTGCTCTATTCAATATCATTTTGATAGATTTTATATTTTTTAATTTTTATTTTAAAGGGGGTAAAATTAAACACAACAAAACAGAACAAAATAGGACATAAGAAAGCAATGTAAGAGATATAAACTTTAAAGCTAGATGATCTGAGATCTTCACTGTTTATCATATTGTCTGTTGTTTTCTTCCAAATAGTTGTCCATGTCTTCACATACAGAGAATTCAAGAGAATTCATACAAAACAACATAGTATAAAACTGATCTGAACAGAATGAAGAAGGTGTTTTAGGTTTTCAAAACCAGACAATAGGGAAGTCACTAATGGCTGTGGTAGAGTCTCTCATTCTCTTCAAAATAGCTGTCCATACTTTCATGTATATTGAAGTTCAACAAAGCACAATAGGCAGGGGGGAGGGGTTGTTTGGTTTCCCAGTGCTCCAGGTCCCAGCATGGTGTGGGTCCAGTAAATGCCAGTGGCTCCCGTCCTGGGCTGCCAGAGCCTGCCACACTCACAGCTGCTCACCAGGTGGGGCTGGGTTTCTTCAAGCTGTTTCTTTCTAATCAATTGACCATTTCACTACCTGAGTTCTGAAATGGCCAACAGACCATAGAAAGACTTCTCTTTAGACTCTTACTTGAAACCAACATCAGAGCTGCTGGCCTTTACTCAGGGCCAGTTGATAGATTTTATAATGTTCTGTTTTTGGTTTGATTTTGCTATGTCTGATTGAATGGACAACTATTGTGAAGATAACAAGATATACTATGGTACCTATTACTATTATCCCAGTATCCTGCTGTGAAGTTCAGTACTAATTTCACTGCACTGTCTTGATTGGCTTTGTTTTGTCTTGCTCTGTTGCATTTTACTACCATCAAAATAAAAAAATAAAAGTATATAACCAAAATCCCCATTCCCACAGGCATTATAAAGTTGATTGTTCCTGGGAGCCAGCTGCACTCTTTTCCTTAGTAGACTAATAACCAACACTTGCTCATTAGAAATGATACTAGAAATCCACTGCTAATCCTTGTTTTTCCAGGTGCTTTTAAAAATAAATAATTCACAAAGAGAAATTATCACAGAAATTGGAAAGCACAACAGGACATATTTTCCACATATTTAGCTTTTCCTGAGCTGCAGAAAATGTCTTTATAAAAATAATTTAAATATTAGCACAAATTTAATATATAGAATAACTTGAAAAAGAAAAAATACCTGTAGTTATAACACCATGAAGTCAGATTGCCTGGCTTTCATTTTTGTGTAGACTCCTCTATAGCTGAGTGACTGAAAAAATTTACTAAGACATTTTGTGATTCAACTTACTCACTTGCATATGGAGTTCTTAATAGTGCCTCCTTCATAAAGTTATTTAAGGATTACTTTATATTATACAAAACTGTTAGAGCAGTATTTGGCTTATAATAAGTACTTAGTAAATGCTTAGCATTATCAAATTTGAAATTTTGCACTAAATAAAGCCCAGGTTGGTTTGATTCCTAGAACAGAAAAAGAAAGTACTTCTTTTTAAACATAATCCAAATTCCTTGTTTTTTTTATTGGATATTTTTATGGCTTATATGTAGATGTTCCTCCAAATCTTCATGTGGACATAGGTGGGGGGTTTTGAGAGTGGCCGGATTCTATGAATGTGGAAAAAGGGTGTGATGCTAGGATTAATAGTGTGGATAATGGAGGCCCCACCCTTCATATGGGTGGCACTAATCAATGGATTTATAGTCTGGATACAATTTAAAGGAACAAAAAAGTCAGGCTTGCTGCTGCTGCTGTTGCTGCTCTGTTTTGCCATCTTCTGCCCACTTGCCATGGACTATTTCTTCTCTGTGAGCCCTCTCTGCCATGACAGCCTGCCTTGGAACCAGTCAACTATGATCTGAAACCTATATAAACTGTGACCTGAAATAAACCTTTCCTCCTTTAACTTGTAGGTGTGAGGTATTTTTGTTTCCGCAATGAGAAAAGTAACTAAGACAGGTATAATCTCAGTGAACATATGGCTTTAAACTTACTTTGCTCATGTATCTGTATAAATATTTTTTCACCTGGTGTTGTATAGAATTCATTAGTATTGCCTCTTCTAGCTTCAAGAATTGGTTACTCCAGCATTTCTACAGTATGCTGAGAATGCCACATACCCAGTGCTCAGGACTGTCCTATACTCATGACTTTGTTTCTTATAGTAATTTGTAGTTTGCTCCTATTATCATTTTATACCAATAAACAGTATCACAATGAACATTTTTGAATTATTTTTAATCTTAGAAAATATAATTGCTAAGGATACAATAGGAATTTAAAGACATTTTAATATAAATTTCCAAAATGACAGCCATAAGCTACAATATCACAAGTATTGTGTGGATATTTTGCAGTCCTTCATTAATATTTCCTTATTATTTGATACACAAAAGCTAATACTTTTGGATTTTCATTACTGTGTATTGCCTGCAGCTGTTGTTGAAATCACTAAACCATATGGATTATTTTCCTACACACTTGTATGTAGATATTAATCCTTCTTCACATTTGGTGAAAATGGTTTTTCTCTTCAGTTTTAGTTTTGTGGTTTGCACATTTGTGATCTTACAGATTTTTATATATTTGAATATTTTCCTTGAATCTTTTTAAAATCACAGCTGGGTTGTATCCAGATAAAATTACCTTGTTCTATATTTCTTCTTTATTTTCTCCACTTATAAATATATTCTTAACTCTGGAGTTTATTTTGATATGCTGCATAAAAAAAGAGTTGTTAAAAATTAAAACTGCTGGAAACCATCATATCAAATTAAACATATAGTATTTCCCATTTTTTAGATTTAATTTTTAAAAGAAAAAGACAAATCAACAAAACACAACAGTGATAAAACAGTAAGAAATCTAGAATAATTACTATCCTGCATACTGATGTCCTCTAAATAGTTGCTTGCCTTTAGGTTTGCAGAGTCAATGAAACAATACCAATTACTTCAAGTCAGCCTTTGCTCACTCTGGCCCACAGGAAACAACTGGTATTTGGATTTTTGAGATAATTATTCACAAGGCAGAAGTACAGCAGGATAGTATTTCATATATAATAAGAATATGAGAGCAGATGGCAGAGTATTTGAGGAGAGACTTTGCTTTCCCCATTGCATTAAATTGTCCCAATTCCAAACAACAAACTTCAAGACAAGGACAACTGGTGCCATAAATAAAAGGAAAAAAAACAGAACTAAGGACAATGATAAACTCTGTTGTCTCCTGGGGTCAACAGAACTAGTTTATCTTTTTGTTCACAAAATTAATCTTAGCCACACATGGCGTTCATTTTTTAAATTAAGGGATGCTTAATGAGCTTAGTGTAGGGTAGAAATATTGATTTCTTAATCCTTAAATGTATATATTATTTCATCAGTTCCTTGTAGGGCCTATTTTAATTATTTTCACCCATAAAAAATAAAAGTGCTGTTTGCAGTTATAAATCTGAGGATACTTAGCAATATTTACAGCCTAGGAAGGTAATATTCTAGAAATGCTATGGAAAGCTGGGCCTCATTTAGTTACTCTAAAGAATGTGAGGGAATGAATGAATGAATGAATGAATGAATGAATGAATGAGGCAGAGACCACTCCACAGGCTTTTAGGGAGACAACACGGTATATGGTTTAATATTTGTCAGAATAAGGAGAGTGGGCCTTTTTTTATAGAGATTGAAAGAAGATAAGGGACATTAGGCAGGAAGATATTAATAAGCCCCTTAGGTGAAAGTTCTCTAGTAGTCTTTTACCTCAGTGGGCAAAGTCCTTGAGGTGTCCAGTGTAAATTTTTGAGTGTGTCCAGATGTTTGGGGACCCACAAGTTTCCTTGTCTTATTTTATCTTTTATAACATCCTTTGTTTGCTAATGGCAACCTCAGTGCTGAGCTGAGTCCCCATTGAGAAAAATGCCTCTGCTGATAAACAAGCTGGGGCCAGGAGCATCAGTCCAATTCCAGCCTCACTCTAGTACACAACCCTGTCCTTCACTTTTTAATTTCAGCACATCAAATATCTGTAACTACTTGCTTTATACCAGGCATTATGCTACCTTACACTAACAATTTTTCCATCTTGTCTTCTTTTGATTGTATGTTACAGCTACTCACTCTAACTCCCCTACATGCTTGGGACTCCCTTGTACTTCACTGGCAAACTCAAACTCTGATCATATTCAACATCTGCCTAATTTATATATACACTTATGCAGCCAAACTGAATAGGAGGAAAACACATTGACTTTACATGTATGGCCATAAATGTCTGGTGAGCCCTCAGTAGTTCAGAGTGATTTTGCCAGAATTCATTAAATCTGGCCAGTTTCGACTTCTGGGAGAACATGGCGGACAAATAACAGCAGCCACGGAGGCTCTCTGAGATTACCAGTTTAGAATCCAGGAGCCGTGCTATGTGAGGAGTCCTATGCTAGTGGAGATGTACCCTGCCGACCCAGGAACAAACTAAGCTGAGATAAACCAACTGGAAATGCAATCCTGATGCTATAACAGGAACAGATAAAATCTCAGTGTGAAAGCTGGATCCCGCGCCATTGGAAGCCGTGATTTGAATTTCCTGCTGCAGATACTGTGTCCCAATCCACACGGCAGGGAGAGAGATGCACGAAAGCTCTCACAGCTGGAATCGGCAAACCAAACGACATTGAGAGCAGGACTGGCAAGGAGCCCTGCATCGACTTGCGGTGAGTGAGATAAATGGGGACCCTTTCATAGACTAAGAGGCTCCAACAGAGGACATTCTGGGAACGAGCAGACTAGCCGGAACAGGGCCCTGCAGTGACTTTAGTTGCATATTCCCCTCTCAAGTGGGAGTGGTGGGGAGCACTTGGCCTGGTGATGACTAAGATCCAGTAGGCTAGCCCAAATCAGGTCCCTGTGCCTGGCAGTGCACCCTACCAGTGAAGCATTCAGTAGGTTGACCTGGAGGGGTGGGCCCAGCAGAGCTGCCTAGGTCTGTGTCTCCCTAGTACATTGCAGTGGGCAGGAACAGCTAGCCGGTGGATTCAAACAAACTGTAACAGACAAAGAGAAAAAAAAAAAAAAAAACTGGGCCTCGTACATATGCTTGTATGGAAGGAACAAAAAGTATGGGAAAAGGGAGCAACAAGAAAGGGTCCTCAGTCCCCAATCCTGAGAACACTGATCCAAGAAAGGTAAATGCAAAAGAGAATGAAGACAGAAAACATGCAATATCAGACACGGCACCTATAGACATAAAGCAGTATCTCCGGAGCCTCATAGACAAGTTCAAAAATAAAGTATTTAATGAAATAAAGCAAGAAATAAGTAGAATAGTTAGAGAAATGCCAAGCACCGCCCAAGAAAAAACAGATGGTGGAATGGAAGAACAGAAAAAAAGGGGAGAATTGTTTGATGGAGAAAATAGAGAAAACGTAGAATACTTGAAGCAGGTTCAAAGAGATTACCAGGCAACTAAAAACTCTATTGAAAGCTGGCATAACAGATTGAAAGAAACTAAGGATAGATGATCAGAACTGGAGGACAGATTTGTAAGGTGGGAGCATGAAATGAAAAACTTCTTAAAAATAACAAGAAAACAAACAGCAATAATACAAATACTAGAAGATGATAAGAGGATCTATAACTTAAGAATTAA